AAATTTATTATGTGTGTGAAGGTTAAAGTTCTTCGAGCGTTAAGGTTTCCGAGAGTTAAAGGTCCCCTCTTAGGGTTTAGCATCTCTCTCAATTTGCTAAAAAAATTTAAACCTTTTAGTTTGATAAAAAAATATATAAAATCTTTATATTTTTAAGGACAATTACAAAAATGCTACTTTTTATGTGCACATTTGCAAGAATGCCACCTAGGAGTGTCCATTTACAAAAATATCACTAATTATAAATTTATAAAATCTAAAACCCCCTAAACATTAAAAACTAAACCCTAATAGAACATAATTAACTCAAATATAAATAATATAAAGATTTTTTTTTGAAAAAGTGGCATTTTGTTAAAAATTTCAAAAGTTTGGTATTTTTGTAAAGTGCCATTTTAAAAAATTTCTCAAAGATTGTTGACTCACTTTGCAATATACCATTGTTTACTCAAAAATCTGGTTCACTCCTTTTTCGCATTATTTCCATATTTGAATGATTAAATTTGTAACGTAAAAATTAATATTTCTCAAGTGAAAATCTAGAATTTTTAATTCTGATTCTAAATTTTTATTTATAATCATGAAGTGAATTTATTATTATTTTTTAAAATAATTTGAATTAATTTGAGATTCGAGTTTAAATTGGTTAACGTTAAAAGATCAGATTTAAAAAGCCCGATAATAATAGTTCTGGTCGAAAAAGACTATTTTTTTGTCTACGTGTCGTCCATGTCACTGTTCCGTTAACGTTGACTTGGTCAATGTCTAAATCAATAATAAAATCGTATGTTTGGATATCGAATTTGAATTAATTTAAGATTTGGGTTTAAATTGGTCAATGTTAAAAAATCAGGTCCAAAAAAATCTGAGTGGCAATAGTTTTAGTCTAAAAATACTGTTTTCCCAATTTAATATAGGTTGATTGTTGAAAAAAAAAAAAACTATTTGATTGGTTCCTTAAATACTATTTAACAAGTGTCGCCGAAGAGGCTAAAACTCTTTTGGTTAGAAAATAAAATATAAGAAATTATGATGAAAGAAAGATTATATTCCAACGAGAAGAGATAATAGCCAACTGATTTTTTAGGATTTCAAAAAAGAAAAGAAAAAAACAGATCCGACGGTCGAAAACCTAACTTCCCCTCACAGAGGAACCCTAATTCATTCTCATTATTATCGAGAAACCATGAGCGCAGATCTCTCCGACGCCGCAGGCTCCCCCATGATAGAAGGAGAGGGTCTCTCCAAGGTCGAATGTCTCACCGATGACGATCACACCTCGATCAAAGATTCCTCCGCGGATGAAGAATATCTCTCCGAGATCCTCCCCGGACGACGAAGATCTCTCCAAGGTCGAAGAAGATCTTTCCGAGGACGACGAAGAAGAAGATCTCCCCAAGTTCGAAGAAGAACCCTTCGACTTCGGTTATATCTCTGAACCCGAAGACTACTCCATGTTCGAATCCCGTAAGACCCCGA